CAAGTCGCAATGCTGGTGTGTAGACGGCGAGTGCAAATTTGTGCTCAGAGTACGACAGGACTCGTACTACCGGATTGAACTACCTTGTGCTACCGACGAGGACAAGGCGAAGGTGCAAGACTTCAAGATTGTGCTAGCAAAGGTCCTGCAATATGAGAAGACCGTTAGTCCCTTTAAGATAGGCCTCGAGGTCCAGATGCCTGAGCAGCCTGATGTGCCAATTCCTAAACAGCCACGAAAGCCTGCGGAAAAGGCTAAGAAGTGGGTGCTCGACAAGAACTGGGTCCCGGAAGATGACTCGAAACCTATTGTAGACGCATCAGAGTCTGCTATATCTTCTTCGTATGATGACGACGATCGAGTTAGCTTAAAGACGAATAGAGAAAGGAGAGAGACTTCCGAGTCACCGCTACCACGAACAGAGATTGCTCCTCCGTTATCGGCAATGAGGAACATGAAGCTCACGACCCCTCCGTCTGTGCCGCAGCGGGCGAAGACTTTCATGACCTCTAGGTCGATCACAGCTCCCCCGCGATTCGGCTTAGGACAATCGTCACCGTTGGTAAGGAGGAGGATAGTAGGACATCTTGCAATTCCAGAAACAGAGGCTGAAGACGTGGAGAATATTGAGGATGCAATCAGTCGTACTTCAAGTGTCGACTCGTTCTATTCCTTAGCAAATACTCAATCTCCCACACCGACACCCCCATTCGAGGATGCTACGTCTCTGATAGAGAGCAATCCATGGGCTCAGGGTGAGGACGAAGAAGAGCCGCAATGGCGGAGAGGTCGTCATCGCCGCCGAATATCAGAGCTCACTGTGACGGCTCACTCCAGGACACATTCGGAGGAGCGTCTGCCTTCCACGCCTACAAACAGCGGTGAATCCAAGTCTGCGCCATCGACTCCTCCACTCATGAGCGACTCCGACGACAGCTTCGAGCCACCACTGCCAGACGTGCCGACACCGCCTGACGCTATCAGGCTAAAGAAGCTGACGGGCGCCTCACAGCGCCGAGCTTACTCTCCCATGCCGCATCCACAGAACCTCTTCAACCCCCAATCACATGCCCCTCAGCAGCAGTTCACAGCTGCATTAGTGCAGAAAACCTGCCAATTGCTGCTCGGGCCGCCCGCACACCTGGTGGCGCTGATGCTCCGAATTGCAGCGCATATCTCCAATGGAGCGTTTGGCTTCGGCACATACCGCGTGCATCAAGACACGGAACGGATTCCCTGCTCATGGGAATCGAGTGACGACGGTGACAACTGGGCTGAGGATGACTTCGGCATTCCCCTGGGCCATCTAGAACCGTCCGGGTTGAGGAGGAGAGAGCCGTCGGCACATGGTGGCTGGGAGGTTGACTGATGCTATTTTTTTCGGAGTTTCTTTTGCATATTGTGATACCACTGGCGCAGCAACATTTATCCTCACAGCCTTGGCTAGGTCTAGTTTATTGGGAACGGGAACGGGAACGATGGGGCCGTATTCATGGTGTTGGCAAGGGAAGGGGTTCGCAGACGCAGCGTTGTCTTGCTTTGTGCTTTCTGGGATGATGCCGAGCATGGAAAGTTTACAGGCTACACGTTATCTTGGAGTTACGATATCTAGGGGATGCTAGTTTTCGCCAGTCTCATCCCCATCACGCAGGTAGAACCTAACGTGCGTCTATCTCATTGGACTTTGTTCAACACCCCTCTGCAGACATGTAGTGACGTTGAGCCAATCCCATAGCCGCTTCCTCCCGAGAGGCTTCCGCTTCCCGTATGCAAGTCATGCTCTCCCTGCGTGAACCTCATCGTCCTCCAGGTTCGTGCAGATGATTAGGACGGGTCCCCAAAACCCGGCGGGGTCAGCAAGCAACCTACAAGGCAAAAAGGCAAGATGGCACGTCGAGGTCATCGAACACATGCTTTACCTCTATTCCTTGGCTGTAGGCAGTGTGGACGGTTCTGAAGTTCACTGGCGGTGAGGGGTTCGTTGATACGAGGAGCTAGACGCAGGGCTGTGTCGAAAGCGCAGGACGGGCCATCTCACCATGTCAGCTCTGGCAGACCGGCGCGTCGCATCAGCGCTGGATGGATGGAGGGCTGCGCGGTGCAGGCCGTGGGAGACGGTGAAGTCTTGTTTCCGCAGTGACGATGATTCTGGGGATTTGTGAGGGAGATGGGATGTGATGTGACGGGTGGTGTGATTCCCAGCCTCCAGTTTATGCGCTGGACAACACGAGTCTCTATACTATCTTTGGAATACTCAATATTGACCTATTCGGTATTCGATATAGATCTATCCTCTTCGATGCTCGGTCATGCTGATTTCGCCTCTTCACAAGAGCCGCTCGAAGGCGATCTCCCGCGAAGTTTTCCTGACAGCCCACCTGGGCAGAGCTGAGGCGCGCAACATTCGCCCAGCAAGCTTACTGTCGCCGCTATCGCCAGGGTCGGTCGGCGATGTGCTGCATGCCCAGATGGGTGGCTGGATGCGGGCAAGAGGTGGTGTGGCAGGGACTAGACCTGTTCCCAAAAAGAATCAAGGTTGGTGATGGTGTAGAGTACCAGCCTTCGCGCTCCCAGCCCCCCCCCCTTCGAACCCCCCTTCTTCTCAGCCAGCCGGCGTTGCCGTTGGTCGCCAGGCCCACTGATCTCCGCCAAGTCGTGAGAACAGGACGCATGTCCACCGATGTTTGGACGAAATGGAGGAGGTGAGGAGGGGGTTGTGGCGTGGCTGGGAGCTATATGAGGATGGGACCCGCCCCGCGACGCCGTGTTGTGAGGATATTCGACGAACTCGTGAGCTTTCTTGCTTCTCCCATATCTTTGTTATTGTGTCTCACAGAGTGACTCTCAATTACGATATCCTATTCATCTGAACATTCTTCAGGTGTTGAGTGTCGTCTCACATCAATCATTATGGAATACTCTTGCACTTCTACAACATCTCCGCATCCTCTCCCCCCAATTCCCCCCTCCGACTTCTCTCCCATCGCCAACCTCGTCCCTCGCCCTCTCTTCACCCCCAGGACTCGCTCCAAACATCCCCATCCACCCCTCTCCATCGCCGTCTCCGTCATCGACGCCTCAGACTGGCGAGTCGCCCACCCCTCGCCCACCTCAACCTCCTCATCCTGCAGCAGCTCCAGCCCCTCAGCCTCCCCACCCTCCTTCAACTTCGACTACTTCACCTCTCCCTCATCCGAAGGCCCACCGCCCTATACCGCACTATCCCCATCCTGGAGCCAACCACCACCGCCGTATCAATACCAGTTCCAAAGCTCGTGGCCCTCGAGCCCTACCTCGAGCACCTTCTCCTCTTCGAGCTTCGGCTCTAGCGTGCGATCGCCATCCAGTGGACCGCGTCTCCTGCGGCGGAAACCGAGCCCCAAGCAGCTGAGTCTACGGGCGCTGCGGGCGAAGGAGAGTGATGCGTGTCTGCAGCGAATCTACGAGCGGCAGACGATGGCGTATTTGGATGGGACGGTGTTTGGCAGCGCGCCGAGGCGGAGTGGCTTAAGGAGAGGGATTGCGCATGATGACTGAAGAGTTTCCTCGGGTATTGAGAGCAGGAGTAGGAGTGGTGATTTTGGTAAGTCTGAATTGATGGATGAGAAGAGGCACGTGACCGAACCCACGCGAGAGAAGATGGATCTTCACATCTGAACAGCACAGCACACAAGACAGATAAAGGCGCAAAGCAGGCTTCGTGGAGCTCACTCTACGGTTCTAAGCAATATGGATGCTACTTTGGCGTCCGCCGATACACACACTCCTACCACCCCCCTACTCTCTACTTCCTCCCCAAAATGTATTTTCAAGCAGGCATTTGCTAACGCTTTTCAGAACAACACTCTCAGCGCCGTCTTAAATGCTCGGGCACTCCAGCTATTGCTCGATATTTCAAGGCCTCGCACCGTAGACTCAAGGTTGTAGCACCCGCAGGACGGGAAAGCAAGAACACTACAGCCAGTACGCACGCGATGCAAGCCTTTCAGGAAGAGCCAATCGCCTACACCCTCTGTTTCTACATTACCAACTTGAAAGAAAAGAACCGGAGATAGAAAGACGAACATGAAACCCGGGGGCAGTCTTTACGACAACGACCAGCTTCCACGGCTACGAAATGGCCGCATCTCGCAATTCATGTCTTGATGGAAGTTATTCTCACGTTTTTACGAGTTGTATAGGGGTCTATGGTTTGCTATTTCACGTACTGGGTACAAAGGAAGGGGAGTTTGAAGGCTAATTGATACCACGAACGATGAAGGATGAGTTCAAGATCTAGTTATGAGAGTAGTTATGTCGATCTGACTATATGGTTTATATCTTTAGTGGCTACTTGGCCCTCAGAAGATCTGTTTGTCCTATGTTCGGGTATAATGGACTACGCTTTCGTGAAACATGTGACGTTTCCGATCGGCCTTTCGGTCCATGTTGCCAGAAGGAGCAAACCCTCATTACCTAAATTTTAGAGTCTCCCGCTTTTCTTAAACTTTATTGCAGATAGCTCAACAACTATGCATGCTAGCATGAATTGAGCACTAGGACGTAAATCGCACGGCTGAGAAGTGTTTTTGAGTGAGGTTTCAGAAAGAAAGTAGTCAAAGTAAGTCATTGAGTTATCCGGAGTACTCTTAGGGTTCAACACTACTAGAACTCTAGTACGCGCTCACCTCCGAAAGATAGAGCTCTTTGATCCCGCTCGACGACCTCTGTATACGCCTCAATCGCAGGAGTACGCGAACGAGAAGCAGGTTGGCCGCCGCCATGGATGTTACACGGCTTTAAAGCCCGCAACGACGATACCTTCTCGAGCAGATATCCACGCATGTTTAATACTCTCCCAAGCCTTCTTCGCCCAATCAGTTGCTATCGACCCGCTGAGACCTCCCCTTTGTCCACCGGCTCGAGCATCGAACGGAGAGGTACCCATTTCACAAGCAGCCACCCGCCCCGATATACTCACACCGCGCCATCAAAATCAAAGATCCAAAAGAAACGCACGAGTCCGGCGCTGAGGATCGAACTCAGGTCTCCATGACGCCGCCTTTTTGTGGACGGTCGTCATGGTATTATGGCCAACTAAACCACACCGGATTATTGGAGTCCCGGATGGGTTAAGCGCTTTTAAAGGAGAGGCCATACCGGTGGACTTATGTGAGGAGAAAGTGAGTCTGTGGTCGATTATGGTTTGACTGGTCAAACGGTGGAAACGGATTAGCAGTAAGGGAGCCCGCAACGTCGTTTAAAGTCGTTGGAAAGAGGAGACCGAGAGATGACGCTAGTGGAGCGACGCATATGCAAGGTAGAGTAGGAGGTGGTACGCGGCAGGGCTCTGACAAAACAAGCGGGCTCCCTTGGCGTGAACTGGAAGAAGAATTTTTCAGGGACGGCTCGCAGAAGTGTAAGCTAGGTTGGAGGCATATGTAGTGTTTGAACTAGAAAGTGGTTGGTGTGCACTGTACAGGGAAGGATGCTTTGTAGAATGTGAAGTGTCATATTGTTCCAAAGAGTCCGATGTTCTACATCATTTACCTCATAAAAGCGAGCAACTTACGACCGAGTTATAGTGATTCTACACGGCTCTGTCCATGCATATATGCTGATGAAGACTTACAACCATTTTCCCTTAGTATAAGCGACCCATAGCCAATACCAAACGCCAAAAATGCACGCTAATCATCATTCAATCAACCCTCACCCCCCTAATCCCCACTACTCGCCCTCGCCCTCCCCCCATTACCCCCAAACCACCCCTCACTCCTCGCCGTCGGCGTCATGGCCCTCCTCGACTCAACCGGACTCCACTCCACACTCGGCGGCTTCAGCACCTCCCCATCATCCAAGCTGGCCCTTCCCCCCCTCATCCCCGCCATAGCATCCTCATTCGTCACCAGCCGCACCCCGCCCATCCTCTGCCTCTCCCGCTCCCTCTTCTCTCTACCGATCTCAACTCTCTGCCTCTCAAACTCCCCGACTAGGTTCTTAAAGTACACCTCCGCGGCCTGGGTCGCAGAATAGTGCACAGGCGTCCACGAGTACGCGTTCTGCGCGAGGGGATTCGCGCCATACGTCAGCAGCATGCGGAGGGCCTTGAGCTCGCCAGCAGCGGACGCGTGGTGCAGGGCGGTATTGCCGGAGGCGTCGTGGTGGGATATGATCGTAGGGGAGGTGTGGAGCAAGGGGGGTAGGAGGGGGAGGGTGCCGGTGCGGGAGGCGAGCATGAGCTGTATTCCGTTAACGACTAGAGTTCACGAAGGCACCCGACCCACCCTAGGGGGCTTACGGCATCCATGCCCTCCTTATTCTCCCACGACACGCATTCCGGGAAGCGCTCGACGAGGAGCACGCCCACGTCTGCTCTGCCGGCCGACGCGGCGAGCATGAGCGGCGTGTCCCAGTCGCCGTTGCGGCTGACGCCTTCGGCTTCGTGGCCGGTGGAGATGAGGAATTCCTGGGTTGGAGGTGTTAGTGATCGGATCTGAGTACCGCGATGTCCCGCATATGCTCAGGTGTTCCTAGCTCTTTTCCATACGTCCAACCCCACCATCGTGTCTGAGAAATAGTTTGACCTACAGCAATCTCCTTAAACCCCTGCTTCGCCGCGAGGTGCAGACTAGTATTGCTCTTGTCCTCGAAGTCCGGATTGCGTAGGAAAGTCGGATTGTTGCGCACGATGCGCTTCACGAGCGCGAGGTCGTTGAGGAGGATGGCACGGCGGAGGCGGCGGGGGACGTCGATCCTAGAAGATCGTAGATTAGCTTTGAGTACGGAGCTATGAGGAGAGTGTATACATTTTAGTGTAAATAGGAAGCGAGAGGAGGTCGGCATTGTGGTACCTTAAAGAGCTATTGGAGAAGGGGAATGGTGGTCGGAGGTGAATGTTGATGTTGGAAACTAGGGCCGCGCGTAGATTTCAGCACGGTTCTAGCTGATACTACCTTACGAGACGAAACGCTAAAGTATCATGTTAAGGATGTTCTCGATCAACTGGAGTAAGTTGTAAAAGATCGAATTCAAGTGTCAAGGCATAAACAATTCACTATTTTTGCAAAATACCACGTGGAAACCACGTAGCCTTGGACGAAGTAGCCGAGAGGAGATGAGACGAAAGGGTCATTTTAGATGCATAGGCCATCTCCATCAGTTTACGAGGAATTAGATCAAGTTGTAACAGTTCGAGATCCGGCTCCAAGGCATAAACAATTCACTCTCTTGGCATCTTTCACGTGGATTCACGTGATCCAGTTCCCAGGGACCTACAAAGCGCCATCCTCCAAATCCCAGATCATGATCGTTCAGTATTCGTCACATCGTAAGCCGGCTCTCTCTCTTCTGCGCTGGCAATGATCGTGCTTGGTAAACGCTGTCCCAGATTTTCTCTCCAAACACCCTCACGCTGGCCCCCATGGGCCCCAAACTGCCTTCACGTTCCCATTCCTACTCACACTTTCCCCCTGGCCTACCTCCCCACCACTCGCCAGCCTTGTCTCAGTCCCTTCCTTCCAGTCCGGGGCTTTCGGGGCCCCATTCTCTCCCACCGCCTTTGGCGGCAGGGCCTCTTGTCCCTTCCACTGTACAAGAGTGCGTCCCTTAGCTACATCCCAGCCAGTAATAGGGTAAAGAAAGCTGTCAGAACCTCGAGTAGGATAGTCGACGTCACCGCGGGAGGCTTTGAGGGCAGCGAGGCGGGAGGGTTTCGTGAAGGGCATCCTGGTGGAGGGTAGGGAGCCGACTGTACTGGTGTTCATGGCTGGTGTCATGTAGAGGCCCCTGTTCGGAACAGAGGCTATCGTTGCGCCTCCTTCTGTGTATGCATGATTCGGGTCCCCTTCCGTCCAGCTTGCTGACAGCGAGCTCTTGTCTTCGCCTCCCTTCTTGGTGCCGACATTGAAGGTTGCGCCATTGACCTGGCTTATATCATTGCGAGGCTTAGGGGGTGGCGTAGCTACTCTTGTAGTTGGACAACTATACGGAGGCGTCTGGTCCGTGATGCAGTAGTAGTTGTGAGCCACGCGCTTGTGGTATAAGGCCTCTAAATGCGTAGGCAAGACCTCCGGACAGATCGGGCACAGGGTGCGATTCTGTTGGACAAGATCGTCCCTATGGCTTTGGGTAGCCTGAGCTTCCGACTGAGTATCGCCGTTGTTTGCCACAATCCCACCGGGCAGGCCAATCCAAAATTGCATGCCATGTCCCTCTGCGAAATGAGTGGCGAGGTGGTCAGCGCGCTCTGCCCAAGTAGCAGGGTGTATGCCGCATATACCGCAAGTGATTGTAATTTTATGCTGAATAGGTCGGCACCAATTAAGCTTCTTGTCGTTATCGAACTGGGCTACCTTGTGGACCTGAACTATATGTTGGAGAAGCTTGTCTTTGCGCGTAAAGGTACGATCCGCACGTGGGTTTGTGAGGCAAGTAGCGCAGTTGTGGGTTTCGAAGTGTGACGGTAGTCGGAGGGCTTCGTTGCACAAGACACAACGGGCTATCCCGTCGGCGTCGTCGTAAGCCGGGCCGTCGGGCATACAGATCCACTCTTTCTGGGGAAAGTGTACAGATTCTTCGTGACGGCGCCAGTCGTACTTCTGTAGGAAGTCCGACGTGCAAAAGCTACACTGGTATATCTTAGACGGGTCGGAGGGACGTCTAATAACTGATATGGGCTCTTTGGTGGACTGGTCTCGCTGTCTTTTTCGACCTCGACGCGGTCCACGATTGGTCGTGGAATCGACGCTCGCGAGCGAAGAACCCGAACTAGACCTGCTGCTCAATGCAGTATTGGCCACTGAAACTGCGTCACTCTTGCTAGAATATTTTCTCGTCAAGAGGGGTGGCCGAGTAGCATTATCTGTGTCCGAAAAGGACGCGGCAGCTTTGCTAATGGCGTCCTCTGAGATTCCTTCATCTTCCGGTGAAGTCGAAAGATATCGCTGCATAGGATCTTGTTGCTTAAGAGGCGATGATTGGGGTATGCGCACAGCAGTAGCGTTACACGGTCCCGAGTTATCCGGCTCGACCGGCTTGGAATGTCGTCTACGCTTTGCAAGCGAAGTCGACCTATCGTTGGCCGATACCGGTAGTGGAATCTTATGGGGTTCGGCTGAAGGAGAGGAGGACGTTACTGGAGGCAACTTCCGAACTCTAGCATTTGCAAAGAAGGTTCGAACTTGACGTAGTGATAGACCTGTAGCATCCGCAAGCTCGTGCAGGTCTTTCTTCTGCAGATAAGGATCGTGTCGGTGTTGCTCAAAGCTGGCTTCCAACAACTTTTTAGCTTCGAGAGGGATCCGAGTCCTCTTGCTTGGCTTGCCATCGTCTCCAGAAACCTCTCCATAGCCGGTAGTCTGCTGGTCTGCTGGGTCCTCGGGGAGGTAGAGAAGGTTGTCGAGTTGAAATATTGTGGAAGGCAAGTCGGATCCTTGGTCCCAGGGCTCCGCAAGGTTTAGGTCGCTGAGATCTTGCCACTGCGGCTGACTATCCAAGTAAGGAGAAATGTGAGAAGGGTCTAGTCCTGAAGGGGGGTTCGGCTCAAGATTCTGTGGAACCAGTCCATCGACCGTGGTTAATGGCATACCCGTAAGGGGTTGGTCAATATAGGAAGAGGGCCAGCTGGGCAGCCTGTTAACGATCATCCATAACAAAACAAATAGCAAAAACACCTACTCGGACAGCTCTCCAACCTGATCATCCTGAGGAACTCCGCTGCCTATGCCCGTGAGGTCAAGAGACGTATCCCACGCCCCGAGAAGATTCGGATCCTGGACCGGAATTGACGATAAAAGCCTCTGGAATTCCTCCTCGCTCATGGATCCGTCCATTATTGGATGTGGCAATAGGTAGCAGGATTTTTTGGCGACGCCCTAATCGTCACTCTGAGCGTGCTTCTTCCACTGTCTTGTATCCGAGGAGGGTTATCTGACTGGGCCTGGTTCGCCAAGACTCTGCGCCCTAATCGTCAATCTGGAGAGCGGAAAGTTCAACTCTTGAGGACTGCTATTCTTTGTCTTTAATGACATTCATTGCATATATACGCTGACAGTATCCGTGCATACGCTTTGGGGCGAAGCATCGCCATGTTGTCTTAGGGGAGACAATGG